GCTGAGGTGACATCGTCGGTGCGTTGGTAATGATCCCTGTACTATAAATAAAGACAAGTTGAGCGAACACAAGACCCCACAAACTTCTACATCACTTTATCGTTTCACAACATGCAAAGTCATGTCTTTCGTTATCCACAAAAATTATGAACAACTCTAAATGAACAGATCTTGTTATTTGGGCAACTATATTGCCCGCTTGGACGCATCATGAATGAAGTGTCAGCTCGCATAGGGAAAGTTCAATTGGCATTTGCCACCCTGAGACATTTGAGGAGCCGCCGCGGCACCCGGCTGTCTCTGAAAGGTCGAGTGTCTGCTGCAGCCATTCGGGTAGCTTTGCTATACCGCACAGAAACTTGGCCGTTACAAAATAGGGTAAAGATAGACTGTTAGTGTTTGAACATCACTGTCTACGCAGCATTGCACGAATCTGGTGGTGTAACCGGACAAGCAGTGTTGAGGTTAGGTGCAAACCTTTAGGTAACCGCGGTAAGTGAGTGGTTGACCTTCATGGATTACATAATTGATGCATGTTTTACGCATATCGCCAAGTAGGTTGCCGCGGCATGCGATGTTTGCTGAGGCAGGTAATGAGTGAAAAAGTCAAGGATACCCTCACATGAGGATATAGAAACCTGAACCAGGAGACGGGTTCGGGTTTTCATTCCCTCATACTTCATCGCTGTCAGCATTCCAATCTTCATTCCACTCTTTTATCCGAATGGGCAGCAAAAAGGCAACCAAAATCGGCACATGGAAATGCATAGTTAATGGTTGTAAAAAATTGAAAACTGAACTGAGACCAGGCGACTCGATCATATGTGTCTTGTTGTGCTCTCTAGGGATCATTGTAATCAATGGTTAGAGACAGTGAATTATATGGCTGAGTGTCGTTAACAGTTTCGTTCGTAATTCTTCTCAATTTCTTTGCAACTTTAGTTGACTGATATTTCTCATTCTGTATTTGTCTCCTGGCGGTGGTGTTCCGGTGATACCGCCACCAAATTATAACCCATTAGGACGTGTGTTCGAATCCCACCAACATCGCCTAAATTTCCCCATCGTGTGTTGCATGGCAGTCCTTCGATTGGCCGCTTCCCCTTCCTGAAAATTGCATCATTATGTAGAGTAGCAAATAAAAACGAAAGAGACCTTTCCTGTCTTTCTCCTACTGCTCCATGTCATCAGTCGCCTACCTCACCGCGCGTTATGGCAACAGCCGCCCCAAAGGGGAGAAAGCCTCGTGGAGGTCAACAGATAACATGGAGACGGGGCATAAAGAAATGTACAGGGCTATTAGGTAGAGTAGGTATCTCTCACTTTCCGGCTTGGAGTCCAAAACACTCTGTAACTGGGTAGTTGGGGCAGCGAACCAACAGCAGTGACAATCTCGTCATTTCTTATAATACTAGAATGTTTGAATTAGTATATATATAGTGCGTATATACACTGTTGGACTGTGTACTCTTTGTTGACCATAGAGGTTAGTTTTCTTTCGCCGTCCTTAAAAACATGCCCAATTCCTATCCTCCTTAAAATTTCCCACTTACGAGTTTCGCAGCGATCATTGGAATTCACTTTATTGTATTCCGCTGTACGATTATGTCGATAATGGCTGTTTAGAAAAGTGTGCTTTTCATCCCCCATATTGTTACTGATAGGTCTTGTTTGACCAAAAGGTGACCATACCCGGGTCGTTCACTGCAAAAGGCGGTGGAAACGCAGTGGCTTGCAGCTACAAAGCTTCGGTCGGTTTATTGTTCCCTCTGGAACGTGGTTTTACGTTCGTTCCTCGCCCACCTGTTTCAATTCGATTTGATGAGGTTATTACTGTACAGTTTTCTCGAGGCACGGGCGCCCAGAGATCATTCGATTTTGAGGTGAGTTATCTTGATTCGTTTGCGACACTGGTGATTATCTGTATCCTTTTCTATCTATGGGAATTAAGTTGATGTATTATTTTATATATTTTATTTTTTGACTCACCTCATTGATTTTATTTAATCAAAACTCCTAATTGATACATGTAACCGTGGTAGGTGCCAAATTTATTGCGAGGAAATTTTTTAAAATTACACTCAGCACAAGCTAAAAATCAGCAGATTAATGTTGTCTCAATATGCAGCTGTGGTCAAACGATTAAATTCATTAGCTTAGCGCCCCGTAGGTCGTAGGCGCCTACCTTTCCATTGGCCATGGTTCGTGTGACCTCTCTTTCACCGTCTTTTGGTACTCAACATTCACTAGACGGAACAAGGCATTCCGTAGAAGATCCACTACGGTCAAGTGTTTTTTTATTTTTCAGTTACACAATGTAAATTGCAGTGAAAGGGGAAATTCCCACAAACAAATAGGTTACTGTAAAAGGGAGTGCAGGGGAACATTCACTTACGATCCAGTTTATTGATTCTGTGTGTAAAGAGTGCCAGGTTTTAGTTTGGGGAAAGACAAAAAGTGGTAGGTTCCCCAACTTGTCAGTTCGGAAAAGAGATTGGATCAAAGAAGTACGACATCTGGAAACTGAAATTTGTTGAGGATGACTAGATGCCTGTCTACGGGACGAGCGGGTAAAAGTTACAGGAAGGAAAACTACCGAGACAAGCTCCGAAGAACAAAAGCCAAAGTAATAGCGGCCGAGCAGGGACAAGGAAGCAACTGCCCAACGATGAGCTAGTGACCGCAGACTGGGTGTTAGGGAAGAATCGTCGATCAGCCGGATGGTCTTTCGTTGAACACTATCAAAAAGGGGAGAAAACTAGAATAAAGTCCCACCCCACACGTGACTGCAGTATTCAAGAGCAGGGCGGATTTGAGCTTTGGACAGGATAAGATGAGCTGGGGTGAAAAACATCTGGCGTGAAATAAAAGACCAAACTTGCGCGCAGCACGAGAAACAAACTGAAATATCAAAGGGGACCAGCATAACGAAGTTATAGGCAATCTAAGAAGGGAGTTTTTTCAACAGTGAATGAAACGTGGTTTGCAATGCCCCAGAAGGAGATGTGTTCAAGATCGAAGTCCATTGACACATTAACTGCACTACGGTCACCGTTGATTTTGGTTTGGGCGTGGCGGGTGGTCCAGTAGGAGAGGAAGCAGTGGAGGGTAACGTCATCGTTAAGAGAATGGATTGGATTAAAGGTTTTGTAAGGATCATTGATGAACAGAAGAAAGAGGGTGGGCGTAAGTACTGAACCTTGGGGAACACCAGCGTTCACTGGGAATGATTGAGATAGAACCCCATCAACTCGGACGGAGATGGTTCGCTTACTGAGGAAATTTGATATCTACGCTAAGAGCGCCGCAGGAGACCCGAACGTGGTGGTTTCACCAGAAAGACCTCCTTTCGAACTCGGTCGAAGGCCTTTGAGATGTCAAATGAGACCAAGTGTGTTTCTTTGTGGTTATCAAGTGCAGCTGACATTGGATTGTGAGATAAGAGCCAGCAAATCAGCGGTGGAACGGTGCTGTCGGAAGCAATGCTTGCCATCGCTCAGTGGTCCTTCACTTTCGAGGAATCACAGATAGAAGGAAGTTGGAAGGGCAGAAATTACCGGAGATTGCTTTTGTAGGGAACCAAAGTGTTCAGATACCGATGGCGGACGAGACTAAGTTCTTGGCTTTACGACGAACGAACCGTTCCTTGATTC